CCGCTAAGCCCCCCGATCCCCTTGACCCCCCCATCCCTCATGAACCCCCTGACCCCTCCTCAGTCCCCCCCAGCCCAGCTGCTCCAGGATGCTCCAGGATGTTCTGGGATGCTCCGGGATCCATCCCATGGACACCACGGGAGCAGTCACGGGGTGATGCCCTCACACTCCCAGGGAGGGGGGATCCCCCCAAAATGTGGGGTCTGAGGTGGGGACAGAGTCTCCAGCATCTCCCATCTCCTGGGATTCCACTGCTGCCCTTAGTTCCATGGATTTTAGGTCCCCTAAAACAAGGATGTGCCTTTATTCACAAGGATTCCCAAGGATGTGGGGCTCTGGCCATTTCCCTCACCCCCTCTGAGCTCACAGGGAGGGGGATTCCCCCAAAAATTCCATCTGGGAGCACTGAGCCATCCCCCCCCATCTCCCGGGATTCCCCCACCTCCTCACACTCAGTTCTGCGGTTTTTAGCCCCAAAACCCGAGGATGTCCCGCTATTCCCGAGGCCTGTGCCAGCTCCTTTGAGGAGCTGTTTCCTCTGGGAATAACCCCAGCCAAAATCCCGGAGAATAAAGCCCTTCTGGGGCTCTGGGAGCTCTGAAAGGCTCCTCTGTTCCGGGCTCGGCTCCCTCTGACCCTCTGGCAAAAACCAGCCGCTCCCCCTTCCCCGTTCCCGCTTGGAATCGCTCCCGGAGCTCCGCGGGGGCTCCTCGCTGCTCTCCAATGGCCTTTCCAGCCTCCGGAGGTTCTTCCAAGCCCTGCTTGCCCAGCAATTCCGCAATTTCACGGTGGACAAACGCGGCCTCCGGGGAGGAATCGGGATCCCCCCGGGTGGGACCCTGCGGTGGGGCCGGCTCGGTCAGGGAGGGGGGTCGGGGAGTTATTTTTAAGCCAGGTCTATTTTTATAGAGGGGCCAATGGCCAACGAGGTCAGGCAGCAACTTCTCCTGGCAGCTGCTGCCTCGGAGAGCTCAAAGAATTCCAGGAATTGGGGAAAACACCCCAAAAAAAGCCCCTCTGGAGCAGCCGGGGCTGTTGTGCTCCGGTATTGAACCCGCCCAGAGGCACTGGTTGGGTCCTTGATAAGCCCAGGAATTGTTAATATTTATTAATTACTGTTCAAATTAGGGGTGGGATTGAATTCCAGAGGCTGAGTCACGGGAAGAGGCAGCAGCTGTCCCGGTTTTTGGGTGAAAGGAGGAAGTTTTTGGGTGAAAGGAGGAAGTTTTTGGGTGAAAGGGGAAGTTTTTGGGTGAAAGGGGAAGCTCTTGGCTCGATTCCTCGGTGCGGGGGCCACGTGTTGTTCTCGAGGCTCAGGGTTGCTTTGGCTTGGAAAAGCTGTCACATCCCAGGGGAAAAGTGTCCAAAAGGGCCCCAGGAGCAGCCAAACCTTCCTGGCAGGAAAGTCGGGAAGTGTTTTGCTGATTTTCTCGGGAAAACTGATAGTCTCCAAGTGGGTTTTATTGTTGAGATGGGAGAAAACGTCCTTAAAACTGGGATTTACCCTCCTGTCCGTCCCCAGCCTGGCTTGACTTCAGCTTCAGCCCAGTATTAACGTCAGTCTTTAATTTCAGCCCAGTTTCACCCTGGTATTAACTTAAAGTTAAGCTTAACTTTAACTTCAACCTGGTGTTAGCTTCCATCCTGCTCAAGTTTAATTTTAACTCAATTTAATTTTACCCTAGTGTTACCCTCAGCCTGGTATTAATTTTAACTTCAGTTTAACTCTAGGCCAGTACTTCAGCCTGGTGTTAAATTCACCCTTGTTTAACTTCAGCTTTAGTCCTGATTAACTTCAGTTTCAGCCCTGATTAACCAACTTTACCTTCAGTTTATTGTTAAGCTCAGCCCGGCCTAACTTGAAGCTCAGCCCAGCCTACCATTAATGTCACCCAGCATCACTTTCAACTCCACCTTGCTGTCAACCCACCCTGGTTTAACCCACCCCAACTTAACTGTGATCTCCCCATCCCGGGTTAACTCCAACTCCAGTTTAACTTGTTGAATCCTCCCCAGCCTCTCCCCCCGTGCCCTAATCCCGACTCGGAGCGTAAAGCCGGGTTTCTGTGCCCTCCCCAGCGGCCTGTGGGTGCTGCTCCGGGTGAAGTTCCACCTGCGGCGGCACCAGCGCTCCCGGGCCACGATCCCGCGGCTCTTCCAGGCCGTGGCGCGGCGGCTGCCGGACAAAGCCGCACTCATCTACGAGGCCACCGGCGAGCGCTGGACCTTCCGGCGGCTGGACGAGTTCTCCAACGCCGTGGGCAACCTCTTCCAGCAGCTGGGCTTCGGCTCCGGGGACGTGGTCGCCCTGTTCATGGAGTCGCGCCCGGAGTTCGTGGCGCTCTGGCTGGGCCTGGCCAAGGCCGGCGTTGAGGCCGCGCTCATCAACTTTAACCTGCGCCGGGAGTCGCTGGTTTATTGTGTCGCCGCCTCCGGCGCCAAGGCCCTCGTGTTCGGGGGGGAGCTGACGGCCGGTGAGAGGGGAGGGGGCACAGGAGGGGCAGGGGAGGGTTCCTCTGGGTCCTTTCCATGCTTTTAGGGGGATTTCGTGGATTATCTTTGCCTCCCTAAGGAATGTTGTGTCCGTGGCTTTGTCTTGCAGCGGTCTCGGAGGTCAACGGGATGCTGGGGAAGAACATGGAAAAGTTCTGCTCCGGGGAATATAACCCGGATCTGGTCCCCGTGGACACCAAACACCTGGATCCGCTCCTGAATTCAGCTCCCAAATCCCCCCCGGCGCAGATCCCGTCAAAAGGCCTGGATGGTGATTCATCCTGGTTTTAATTCCCAGGGTGGTGGGACGGGGAGGTGGCTGAAAACCAGGAAAACTGAGGGATGGAGGGGTTAAATCAACCACTCCAAGCTCAAAACTCATGGAATCGTGGAATGGTTTGGGTGGGAAGGGACCTTAAAGCTCATCCCTCAGGAGATTCCAGGATTCCATGTTTTGGAGTTCATGTCCCTGGAGATCTAAACCAGTCCCAGGACAACCTGCGTGGAGGGATCCAGGTCATGTCCTTGGAGCTCCACAGACCGTTTGGACACATTCCTGTGTCCCTGGGACATGTGCATCCTCTGGGAACCTTCTGGACACGTCCCCGTGTCCCCGTGGTGTTCCAGATCTGTCCAAAGGGGTTTCCCAATCCACGGGGAAGACCCTGACTCCTCTTTTCCC